CTAATGGTAGACGGTGGGGGGGGGGCAGAGCCGAACTAAAGGCTGACTTGGTGTGTGGGTAACTTACGAGATTGTTCGAGAAAGGGGGGGAGGGACGGGGAGGATCGCTCTTCAGGGCAGGCACAAGCACCAGGCACCAGGTTGTAGGCAACCGGGGTCGCGTAAGGGGAGGGGGGGCGGGGGGGCGCTGCCGTTTGTAGATGTTGGACGTTACGTTGTTCAACGACTTGTTTAACGAGGAGATAACGGCTTGACGGTTACTGTGATGGGGGGTGGGTTGGGGCTACTGGACGATCCTCATGACCAAACGCTTACTGCAACTTCAACGGCGTCGCCGTTACACACGCACACACGCAAGCACACTTCTTCTTCAACCTCAACGGTCATGCCCCCCCCAACAACAACAACCGTCATGCACTTTGAACCCAATCTGTGTCAACATCACACTTCGTCAGGCTGGGTTGCGGACAGACAGGGGCTATTGCCTGAAGGATATTAACGGGTCCAAAACAATACAACTTTGTCTTTATCTAAATATAGATGTCATCATTTTAAAGTGGATGCAAACTTAAATGTACCCCCGAAAGTTGAATTTCGCTAGCTTAGGTTGTCAGTTCTACCTCGCACGGCGAGTCTTCACTTGAAACCCCCTCCTCGCTCGCTTCAATCACTCGGCAGGTTTGTATTCATGGAACCATACCCCCACAGACATGGCACACGCACCGCCCTCACAACACAACAAGAGTAAAACTCACACATCACAAGTTGAAGCCCTCGCATGGTAGCCCCGCATCAAGCCAAAAGCGCCGCCCCTGGCTCCTCAACTCGCGCGGAGCGAGGCCCGCCCGTGTGCGGAACATCATCGGCTGCGGTGTCCATGTAGTCTGCGGCTGATCCCTGCACTCCATCTTGCTTTGCTTGCAGAATCGAGTCAACCTCTGCCAGGAGCCCCAAACAAAGATCGCCACAAATGCGAGATGAGCAAGAATCAAGTAGTAAAATCAACGACCGAGCGGGAGGGGGCACAAAGCTCATGGTTGACACACCAAAGACGTGGCCGGCATCGCGCATGGCCTGCTCAAGCGTGTGGTTAAAGACCGCGTGCTTGCGCTTAGCCAGCTGCAACAGCTCTTTCATCTACACCCAGAGGAAGCAAGTGAGCACAGATCACGCACACACCGGCAAAGACACCTGTTCCAGCTACGCACCTGCTCGGGCGAGAGCGGAGTGCCGCCACCGCTGTTGATGGAGCAAATTTCACCGTGCCCGTTCAAACACACTATGACGAAACACGGGTGTGAACCAGAAAGCTCACAGTCCGAGACAAGGTGCCTGCAGGCATGCCGCCTGACCGATATCCTCGAGTGAGACGTACCAGTGATACAGCCCTCGGCCACAGCCTCCTCCAATGAGGTCGGATCCACCAGCAAATGGCGTCTATAACCCCCGAAGTTATGTGCAAACAATCAAACAAACATGTTGTTCTTGTCCCAATGACCAGTGCAGGCCAGATGTGTGCGTGATTGGGAGGGGAGGGCATCAATGCCCAAATCACCAAATGCCTCGGCTAGAGGTTCAGTATCCACTCCAGGCACGCGCGCACATACCCGCCAGCGATCGAGGCGATGGTCACAGCAATGGGGCGGTGATGCACCGAGAGCGAGACAGGCTCGTGCTCCTCAAGCGAATGCTAACCCCACCAATTTCATATCACATGAGATGCGATGTGCACGCTCACTCTAAAGCGTATAGACCCGAGATGTTCGCGACATACAATTTTGACTTGGCCGCCAGTCAAAGAGACATAAGGTCGTCGAAAGGTCAAGATGCCCGCCAAGGCCGCCAGGCACACACCATCGGCCATATTGCCGCCGTTCTCCAAAACGGTCACGTCAACGCGCACCTCCCAAACCTAGTCAATTAGCGCCTGATATGAGCACTTTCCATTGCCCCATGCCAGCAGAGCCCAAACCTCGACTCCAGTTCCATCGGCGACATGGGACATGGGGACGAAGGTCGACCCTCACCTTTTCACCCTTGACAATGCACAGGCTCTCGCTATCAATGGCTCGAGCCTCCTTGAATGCACGCTCTAGGAGTCGCGTAAGCTCCACAATTTCTTCTGACGAGGACCTAAGAACCCAATCACGCCGAGATGACCCCACACCAGTGCCCCTGGTGACCCAAGCGCTCGCTGCTTCCTGGAATCCAACATACCGCTGAGCCGCATAGGCGATGCCAGCCCCAGCTGCAATGGAAACGTTAAAGCGGAAAAAGCCTTCCGAGTCATAGTCGGGGTGTGGGGCCACGACCTCGCAAGTGAGTTGTGCCATCACCCTACCCCAGTTTAGCGAGACATCAGGTCAACAGTCCAAACGGAAAAAAATTGCAAGGACAGAGACACCCATCAACGAGGAGCAGGTGAGCTGAGGCATGCACGAGCACCTCTCGAAAGAAAATTGACAGGATTGAATGTGGCGCATACCTAGTTTTGCCGAGAGCCAGCTCTACGAAACCAGGAGTTTGATGAAAAGTAAACTTGCATTCCCGATGCTCGTGGCGATGGCGCCCGTCCAGCCGAGCCGGCTCATCCTCCTATCACCAGTCCGTGTGAGAGGCGATGACGCAAAGCACTCACACCAGGCTCGATGACCAGAAAACGCACGTCGGCCGAATCCAACGCGTTCAACACAAACTCCTTCTCGCTGGTGCTCCATGGTCGGGCCTTCATCGCGCTGGTGTGTCAAAACTTGGCCCTGAAACGAAGCTGTTGAGCTGATTAGGTGATCCTGGTCGCGGATGGCAAAGGGAGGAACGAGTTGAAAACCACACGCGGGTCAACTTTGCGCGCTCAGCGGAAGCGTAAAAATTGTCATACTTTCGCTCACGAATGACTGTTCTTCTTAAATCACAACTTGTTGTCACTTTGAATTTTTGGGTGACGGCGGCGACGGCGACGGAGGAGGAGGCGCAGAGGAGCAGATGAAGAAGCTGGGGCCCGCTTTACTGTTGGCTGATTGATCCTCTCTGTTTGAACGGAGGACCGGGGTGGGGTCTGCTGGTGGCCCGTTTGTAGTGGCGGGCCAAGCTGGCCACCGCCATCACCAGATCTGCGACATGGCCAGTCCCGACGAGCCGCGTCGACGGCTATGGCTCGTCCTCGATCCCTGCGGCCTGTTTGGTGCTCTGATGGTTTACGTATTGATGCTTCTGGGAGTTGTTGGCTCCTTGCATGTCGTCGATTTTCAAAACCCCGTGAGTGCCCTTCTCTGGCTGGCTGTATGCGCAGGCACCGCCATGGCCGGTTGGGCCCACTCCCAGACCATGTTCACTGATCCCGGCGGTAAGAGGAAGTCAAGCGCTGTTGATGCAAGGGTCGGTGTGCTGCCGCTTTAGCTCGCCTCTGTCTTGGCCTGTTTGCTAGCGTGGCAACATTCTCATGCACACGACCTTTCTGCCCTTCTCTGCCTTGATTGGAACAGCCGTACCAAAGCGTTTACACGAGCCTGCCCTCGAGTACTATGACCGACGAAATCCCCAGCTCGTGGAGGGTCAATGGGTGACCACCTGTCGACGCTGCAACTGCTGTGAGCTCCAGCCGCTGTTTTTCTTCCTTTTTTTTTTTTTTTTTTTGCTGCTTTGAGACTCCTGTTACAGCTGCTGTGATCCAAGACAAGGTCTTGGCTGCTATTGTGCGTGACCTTTTTTTTTTTTTCTGGATCGCACGGCATTTGCTACTTGGATAGATAAGCCTGAGCGGGCCCATCACTGCTCGATCTGTGGCCGCTGTGGTAGGCAACTTGCTCTCTGCCTTTTTCGTCCGTCCACCTCGATGCTCGTATCGCTGTCAGCCTAACGCGCACACCCCCTGGGACGGCATGTTGTAGTCATCAATATGGAGTATGTTGCACTGATCGGCACCGCAACCTGCAGGCGTGCGCACATGCGTACAGAGGTGTGCCTTAGCTGTGCGCTAACGCAAGCGCATGCTCTTACACTTTCCTTTTTGCTCGCGTCCTTCTCTCGTGATCATGGTTACCGCCACAATCAGCCACCATTGCCCCTGGTCAGGCTTCGAAGCCCGCGTCCTCCCTATCGCTCGCATTGCCTCGCCTGTGTCGATCAGTCCACACACTGACAACCTGCTCTGCCATGCTTAGGGTGAACAATTGCGTGGGCCACAACAACCAGCGCACATTTATCCAGTTCACGGTATGCTCGTCCTGCTCGCACCCTAACCTAGGGCGTTGCTCAGCCCTCGCGATCACCTACAACTTACTTCTCATGAGATTGGTGTTGCTCGCCATTGTCAACAATTGGCTACCACTTGCCTCACTAGTTTTATATCTTCATCTCGTCCACCCTGATGGTCTTGTTGCTGGTACATAGCGTGTGGTTCACCAAGGGTGGCTGGCATGGTGAGTGCTGTTCTGGTGCCGATCACTGAGGTGTAACCCTCGGAGACTGACCAAAGGTGGAAAGGCATTTCCTTGGCCATGTTTGGCTCACGCCATGGCGCTTGTTTAGAGCTGCTGGACAATCAGGCGTTCACAGCCACCCTCACTCTGATTGGGCTGGGAATGGAGGGCTTCGTCTTTGGCCTCTTCACCCTCATCATGACCTGCGACCAAGTAGGCCTGCATTTGCATTGCTGTTCTTTCGACACAGCATGAGTCGGCTCTTTATGACCCTTGAGTGCCATAGCTCGTGGTCATTGCCTCCCGCCCCTTCTCTCGTCTTACGCTATACCATGCACACTGATTGATTCTTTGTGCCATGCCAATAGCTCTTCGCCATCATGAACCGAACCACCAAGATTGATCGCTTGCAGGGCAAGAGCAAAGCAAGCTCATCAAGCTGGCGCGCTGGGTGGCAGCACGTCGAAGACATGTTTGGTGGCCCCCTTTCCTATCGATGGTGAGTCATGCTCGATGCTTTAGCCAGCCACGGCCGCGCTCAGCAACCCTGATCGTATGCTGGCGTAACATGCAGGCTGTCTCCGTCGCCACGACGAGCTCCGGCTGCCTTGGCTCAGGACCACGTTGTCTAAAGCACCTTCTTGACCTACTAATTTCACTTGGCACCTACCTTTATATGCGACCCCCAGTTCTAATCGACGAAGTGCTACGGCACGACTTTTGTGTTAATCGATCTTCCGCGCAACAACGCTCAACGACATGTCAGCCAAAATGCCTGTGACCGAATTGTCAGCACATCGTCAAAAAGAACAAAAGAACAAAACGTTGAGCTACCATTGTTTCAAACGACTGGGGTCAAAATGTAGCTGCTTAAAGTCCGAAATTCGTGTGCCCACATAACAATATTTTCACACCCCCAGCGCCAAAGGCTGAATACAATGACATTGTCATCATTCTCTGCTACACAGTGGTCGCGCTTCTTTGTTCTTCCCCACGAGTCGTCCACACACACATACACACACACACACGCCCAAAATCCTTAACAAAGGGCACTCACCGGTGGTAGCTTGAGAGCGCGCGGACCAAACGCATACACAAGGAGGGCGGCCCCACAAGTCTTTTGCTTTCTTGTGGTATTGCTTGACAATCCCAACTCGATCCGCCGCGAATGCCACTTGCGCACTCGAACAGCCCGCGTTCTGTTATCGAAGCATTGAGCCACAGCGCCTTTTGCGATCGATCGGCGTGGACAGACAGCCTTCCTGCAAGGGCGGCGCCTAAAGTCGTCCGACTCATCGACGCCAGCGCAGCCTCTACTCGTGCTCGTGAGCAAGGCTACTCGATCTTCCTCACGTAAATCCCGACCTCAGCCAATCTTTAGTCCGCCGCCTCGGGTGATCCGGTCGTGCATCTGATATCGGCCAACCACAGCGGAAACGCACGGCTTTTCTTCTCAAAGACAGAACGCAGCCACTACAGTGGCCGACTGGGTGTCAAAGTTCAACACAAGCAGCGGGAGGTGCAGCATGGCGACCCCGAGCTAAACGTCTCATACCACGACTTGCTCACTCCCAAGATAATTTGGTACCTGAGCCAAGCACATCGCCCATCTTTCAACGCGGTGTACAGCCGCCGGCTATCCGCCCTTTGATTAGCATCACACCTTTCTTTCAAGACCCCCGGTGCCGTGCAGACCGGCCGTCTTCATGTCCGTTGACTTGAATCTCACTAAAAGCAACATGATATTACGTGTTGCTCTGCTCGCACAGCTCTGCTTGAGCCTAGTGCACCAAGCACACTCGACGGCCGTCTACCAGCGTCAGCGCCGCATCATTAACGGTCAGTAGTTCTCGGCCATGTGGATGCCCACTGAAGCATTATCCTTGCTCGCTTTGGCTGGGATGCCGCTGTCCTCATGGGCCGTTGTTCCATTCTAGATCATGTCAATGTGGAGGAGTTTACAGGCACCCCACTTTACATCAATGCTGACCGCGATGGCAACCTTCTATTTGACACGGCTGCCCGCTCCAACCCCAACTTTATCCCAACCACCAGCGCACGCAGCATTGAGCTATTCAATGTGACCAATGCCAACGCTGGAACCAGCACAAGCTTGCTTGGTGATGTCATCGTGCGACAAAGCTGTCTTTTGGTCCTAGCAGACGCCCGTTGCACCACAACCAACTGCACCGCACTGACACACAACAGCGTCCCACAGATTGTTTACTCTTGGGATACAGTCTTCCAGCGATTCCTGGAAGAAGGCCCCGGTGCATCTGGTCCATGGAGCAGCACCAACCCTGCAGAAGTAGCCAGCAGCTTTCGCCCTATCCGAGGTCACGGTGTCACCTCCATTTCACACATTCAAGTTGACAATGAGGATTTATTCTTGGTGATTCAGGGCCGTGAGGATGTGTCCAACGCTTCTGCAGAACCAGGCAAACAATGCGCACAGCTGTGGCGCTACGACTCGACCGCTGGCTACGAAATCTACCATGACTGCCTCTGGGAAACCTATCAGAGCCAGCATGCCACGGCCTTTACGATCGATGGCCACCTCTTTGCACTACAGACCAACTATGCGCAACGCATTTTTGATAACGGGGTGCTGGTAAACGAAACATTTGACGTGCCGTCCTTTTTGGCCGTGTACAACGATGCCACGTCCGACTCCACCGGCAAAGCCACTCCGCTTGGATACTTCGAGGCCGGCGATGTCTACGCCACCAACGGCGGCGTTCCCCCGATCCAACAGGTCTTTGCTACCTCTGGCGCTACCCATGCTCACCATTTTACCTTCAACGGCATCGACTATCTGGCCATCGTCAATTCTGTCTCGACTACGTGCGCCATGCCTGCTTCCAGCTGGACGGACATGATGGCTTGCTACAATTTCAATCAGAACGTCGATATCTATCGATACAATCCGGGCATCGCCGCTGCCATTGGCTCTTTTCAGCTGATTCAGCAGATTCCGCTCCGCGGCCCAGTTCATGCTCACAGTTTCATTGTTGATTCCCCCGGTCAACACACTCTCTTCCTGTGGATTTCTTGCCACCTGGATTCGACTTGGAATACTCAGCCTTCATACGTCTACAAGTGGAACGGTGCTCAATTTGGCCGTCATCAGGTCATTCAGACCTCCTATGCCCTTTCTGCCGAGAGCTTTGTCATTGACAACCAGACGTTTGTCACTGTCAGCAACCATGGCTGCCCTTTTTCCCGCCATCCGCTGGACATTGACAACTGCACCGACTATGCCTCTGGCACCGTGACTGCCTACTCCTACAATGTCCTGACTGACAACTTTGACTCGGTATCCGAGGCTGAGTTTGGCTCCTTTCACCCGCGTGGTATCGTCACCAGTGGCTCAACGGTCACGCGTCTTGGTGCCCCTGCCCGCCCTGTGAGCACACGGGCTCTTGTCTTGGCTGACTATGGCATTCTCACAGGCATTGGAGATAATGTGACTTATCTCTCCGTCGCCAACCACGAAGTGATAGAAACTGAACTGATCGGAACCTGCCCCAGCACAGACTACAGCATCTGCTCGTCCCCGGAAAATATGTTCCTCGTTTCTGCCACTTCCACCCAGGTGGGTCATGTTCATAAGCTTGGAGCGACCGTCTGTCAAAACATTCTGTGGAGAGAGGATTCACAGGGCAGCCGCATTCATGGACAGAGGAGGGAAGGAGGGCAAGGCGAGGTGCAAGGGAACACGAACACATGGTTTTCAAAGCCTCACTCAACACTGTGCGTCACAGGGCATCCAATCTTCTGTCACCGAGCTGACCGCCAGCCAACAAGATACGGACCTGTCTGTCGCCCAAATTCAAAATTTGTTGGATGGTGGCACAACTTTGCTTGCCAGTCTTCGAGAGTGAGTTGCCAAGCCGCGCCCGGCGCCCTTCCCCCTTCCCATATCGATCATCATCGCTGTGGCTCTTTATTTCGTTGATGTTGTTTTTATTTTTTTTCTCCTTGTTTTCAGGGAAGCTGCGTTTGGCACCAAGTTCTACGGTGCCTCGGATGCTGTCACTTTTTCCATTGAGGGCAATGACTACTTGGTGGTCAGCTTTCACGAGTCGTACATGAGTGCCGCCGAGTGCCCCTCCTTTTATCAAAATATGGGCGCCGAGTACAAGTGTGGCCACTTGTCGACGCTGGAACAGATTCCTATGATTTTTGCTTGTTTGACTTCCACCTTTCGTCACATGTTTACGGATACCATCGTGTATCGCATTGCCACCACCGGGCTTGAAGAAGTGCAGCGGCTTCCATCACTGTCTGTACGCGCCCTTGAAGTCTTTGATGCCAACCCAGGGAATGTGTCCGCAGGCAACGACATGAGCCAGCCAGTACTGGTTGTGGGTAATGCTGAGTCCTCTTGCGACACCAACCCACTCTCAGGTGCATTGCACAGTGCTCATCCGCTCTCGGGCCTTGCGGTTTACCAATGGGACGCCAGTGCACAGCTCTTCAGCCTCACCGGCCGTGCCAACAGCACCTGCAAGGTCACCGCCTTGCACCACTTCTTTACTCAATGCCAACCAGATGAGGACGTTGCCCAGGGCACCTGCGGTTCTTTTATTGCCGCGGGCGAGGATTGTTACGCTTACAATCAGCGTTTGACCGCGCACAACTATACGGTGGCGCGTGTCCGCTTTTACAAGCTTGACAGCGACCTGGTTCCTGCCGCCTGTCAGTTGGTTGATGACCCCCGTAGTGCTGCAAATGGTGTCTCGCCTTGCCAGCAGGAGGCAGACGTTATCCGCGCGGCGGCAACCCTTCCCGGTGATCGTCAGACATTTGATTTTCCCGATTTGCTGCCTTTTAACGCAAGTCTGGGTGGTGGAACTTTTGAATACTCTCCACAGCTCCGTGCTGCTACCCCATCGGCTATTGACATTGTCGTGCCCACAGCCGAGATTGACCTCTACTACAGGAATGAGAACGATCTGACCATCCCGATCACCGATCAGGATGATCGCAACGAGACCGTTTACTACGCCAATGGCCGCATAAATCACGAACTAGTTATGGTCGTAACCTTTAGCACTCGCGGTGCCACACCGCAAGTCTTTTCTCTCCCTGCTCTCTTTTCACGCTACTCAGCCTGCGCTCAGCATGCCCAGCTGCCTGTCCGTCGGCAATTCGAGCTCAACAGCGTTCTCACGGGTGTCGCTGCAGGCTTTGATGTGACTCACTTTGTCAAGCAGAGTCTGTACGGCCAAGATCAGTTGTTCCTGGTCTTGCCCGAGCTCTTCCCGCGCTCCATTGTTGGTACGCGCGGTTTCACCTCCAGCCTACATGTCAACCGTATGTGTGACGAGTATACGCTCTATGATGCGTCTCGCCTCGATATCAGCGGTGGCGCATTCCAGCCCCCTGCGGACATTCTTTCCGGTGATGGTATTGCTCTGCCCAGCACCGACACGCGCTGGTGCCCCTACTCCCTCAATGAGAACCACTTTGAGGCCTATGAAGCCTGGTTCAACCACTACAACCCCTTGTCAGGCTGCAAGAATTATGAGAAGGTGACGGATGGCGCCTTTTTTGTCTACGAGCAAGACTACTACAACCGCATGCCCCCCGCCTCATTACGCACTCGCGCAGCCAGCTCAGCCACCAATCGATACGCCTATGTGCGTGCCTCACCTGCGCGCATCAGCGCGCAGCAGTACAGCCTGGCCGACTATGCTGCCTTGCACGCATCGCGAGACAACCCATTTGTATTTCTTCAAGACTTACCCACGTATAATGCCCGCTCTGCCGCGGTACATGAGATTTGCGGCCAAGGCGGCCAATTGTGGTTGCAGTTTGCCAATGATGGTCTTGTTCAGTCCTCGACCACATCTGTGCCCACCGCGAAGGAGATTATCTATCAGTGGAACTCGCGCCGCGCCATGAGTGCTGATGGCGTGTGCTCAGATGAAGCAGCACGGGCGGCAATACAAGCCACAAACGGCTACCCACATGAAGCCGCCCTCGGCTGCTTTGATGCTGTTAGGCTACCAACCCCAGTCAACTATGCCTACGCCAGTCGCATCGCCATCACAGAGCACGCCAATGAACTGTTGTGGATGACCATTAACCGACGCTCCTCCACCAACGCCATGAGTGACACAGCGACAGTCGGTAGCGGAGTGTCAATGAGTGTCATTGGTACTTCCTTGACCACCTATGGCGGCTTGCAATGCCGCGCAACCCAAGCGCAGCAGCAAACTGCGAACATCGATATTGCAGAACTGGAGGCACGCTTCGTAACGCTAGACACAGACCAAACCGTCACGGGCAGCAAGACTTTTACGGCGAACAGCACAACATTGCAAGATGCCGTAATCAACGGTTCGTTGCAAGTGCTTGAAGACCTTGCGGTCGATAACAACGTCTATGTGGAGGGTGCACTTGACACCTTGGGCCTAATCAACAGCATCTACTTGCCCGAATTCGTTGCGCAAACCCGAGCTCTGCTCGAGGATCACGAAGATCTGCTGCAACAGCACGACCAGCGTTTGTGTGCTCTCGAAGCTGAAATGGCCCTAAGTATGTCTCCATTGAGTGCTTTGCACATCCGACACTCATCTTCCTTGCCCGCTTGCTTTCACCTCGTTCCAACAATGCACCACGCTTGCCCTTTCTAACAAACTGATGACCCACCCTCGTCTGTCCAGGTACTGATGTTTGCTATGGAGCTACATTGACTATGGGCTGCTTTGTGCGCGAAGATTTGACCGAGTCGCAATTGCGCCAGCTGACGACACAGCTGAGCGCGTATCTCAACACATCCTACCCGAGCCTTGTGTTTGGCACACCCCGCCTGATGAGCAGTTCCAACGTGGCACGTGTCACCGTATACACCAACGCTACTACTCCGCCGGTGGTCGACGCATCGAGCTTCTTTGTGAATGAGTACTGCCTGAGCTCTTATACGCCACCCAGCCGCGAGGACTACAGTCTCATCTCCAGCACACTATTGTTCCAGTATTTGAACTGCAGCCGCTTTGACCCTGCTGCGCGGTCGGCTCTGCGGACGGCAATGGCCATGGCCCTGAGTGCCTATGGTGTGCCGTCTACAGATGTCATTCTATCAAACATCACCTGTGGCAGTGTTCAACTTGTGACTTATGTCTACATTCCCAGCGTCTTTCAAAGCGGTGCCGCGTCAGAGATGGCAACAACAGGGTTTTGGACCGATGTCTACATGAACCTTGTCAGTCTGAATGGGGCCACTTTCATCAACGTGCCAGAAGCTCTCGTCGTCAACAACATGTTGCTTGCGCCCCCTTCTGATGATGACGATGATGGCAGTGGTGGCAGCGGCGGACCGTGAGCCATCGTCATAACAAAACCGACCAAGACCAGAACAGCCAAAGTGGGACAAGATCAGCCATCAAGTTGGATCCCAATGATCATTCCCACAATGTCTATTCTTGTTGTTTTCTCCGCCTTTGGAAGCAACAGATGCAATGTAAAGTGAAGCGCTTCAATTTGGATTTACTATGACTAAGTGTTGGTCGGTGATTCACTTTTGACTACGACGCAAGACTGCGAGTACGCCCAAGTGGTCTGAGGCTGGTGTTTCCGGTTGCGAGCTGCGAGCCAGGTCATGACAATCCAAAAACATGGTTATGAGTCAAGTGTGTAGCGCCACTGTTGTGTCGAGTTCTTCATGTACAATAATGTGTTTTGGCGTGATCCATGCCCTGTTCCCCCTTCTTTCTACCCGGTGCCTCTCTCCCGTACATCCCTTTCTTGGTGCGCATGCGTGCAACTACTGCATAGCATCGCGCATAACTCCGCTTCAGTAGTGGCGATCAAAGTAATAGTCTCCCTCGGTGCTTGCGCTTCTCCAACCTTGTTGGCCGCGCCAACGATTTCTTGAGTTGAACATCAAACCCCCAGAGTCGCGCAAAGTCTTTCTTCCCTCAATCCTGTCCACTGCAGAACACTTTGCGGCGTGAGAACTCACTCTGGCAAAAGCTCGATGGAGTCCAGCTCAAAGTCATCCTCTTGATGTCCCTGATTGCGCAGTTTCAGGAAGATAAAGTCAATACGCTTGGCCATCTTGTCCTTCAACCGATCAAACGTCAACCCATAATCCCGATCGTTTTCTTCATCCGTATAGCTACCCAAGCACACAATACGCGAAAAGGCCAAGAGAAAAGGGAGCGGTTATGCGCAGGCACAAAGCAACTTGAGAGGAAGATATGCGTGGTTTCACGATCAGATTCTGACTTTGCTGCTGGCCGGGGCTCCGGGTGCTTGATGCGCCATGCGTCGCGTAGGGACGTGGCACGGTGACCATCAATTTCCGCTTCACCCGACAAGTAGCTATCGTGATCAAATGCAGCATGATGAGTCGCTGTGGGCTTGTTTTGTCGCACAGGACAACCAGGCAAAGAACTGACCGGATAGTTTGTGAGTCTGGCTCGGCGTTGAGATCGCCGCAGAAAGCGGCGGGGGCATGGTGTCGGTCAATAAACTCGTATGTCTCAACCGCCCCACGGAGGCGCGCACGTTGGCTACCGCGAGTCGAAAGCGAGACCATCTCATCAGGTTGCAAATCACATTTTAATACAAAAGGAAAGACAAAAGGACCGTGGGAGACCTGCGATTCAGCAGAAATCGCCCCTCCCGTCGTTGGCATTCAGATGTCGTGCACGTACTCAAGAGCAAAGTGGGAGACGAAAACGTGGAAAGGCCCCAGCTGCGGCGACAGCACGGTGACGCGGAGCACGGCACGTTGATGTGCATCATCTGGTCGGTGAATCTCACGCGAGAGAAGGATGTACTCCTGTTCAGCACGTGGACAACAAGAGTGATGAGACCGGCGCAACACGGGCACGAGTGGATGAAACTTAGCAAGCCCATACGCTGCATCGCATCAGCTTGGCCAGTCGCGTGCACGAAAGCAAGGAAACACAGAACAAACGTGCAGCATGAAGCTGAAAAGGGCGAGCTATGAGTACAAACCGTTGAAATGATCGGATAACGAGAAAACACGGCCGTCCCCTCTTCCACTCTAGAGAAGGTGCAACAAGCCAATAAGCACGACTTGAAACCGCGCCCTTGGGCTTGCAAGCCACTCAACCAACGCAAATCAGCCCATCATACCGCTGCCAGCCTTCAGGATACGACATGGCGGCTTGGAAATGAAAATAAAAGCCAGGGAGCAAAACTATTGGCAAAGATGCAAGAGAAAGGGTTTGTCAAGGTGTTGAACCGAACGCAGGTTCAAATGTGGGCGGTCACATACTGCCTAGGCGTTCGGCTTGACTGTCTCTTCCAGCATCGTGGCGGACCTAAACGGCACGGGGTATGTGAGACCTCGAGGGCAAAGGTGTAGAAATAACAGCAGCCAGGCGCTTGAGGTGAAAATGGTGCTCGAAGACTTACTTCTTGAAAAGCAATCACATCCGGGTTGGCTTCGTGAATTTCCGAGGTTAAGCGCTCCATCCTTTTGAGATAGGGGTCATCCTGGAACTTGTTGACGTTCCAGATATTGTAGCTCACAAGTTTGAGATCTCTGGTAATCTTTTGCTGCGGCCTGCCCCTTTCCCAACCAATTATACTGTAAGTTCACAGCAATCAAGACCAGATAGCTGCCAGCTCGAGTGGCTAGTGCAAGTCAAGGACAAAGATCACAGCCCGTCGAACATACCAAGCATGGTGGCCCAGTACCATGGTTGGAGTATTCGGCCAGCTTGGGCACGCGTTGACCGTGCGACTGAACCCGAGATCAGATTGTTGCGTCTATAACAAGGCCAAGTGAAGAGACACCAGGCGGCACCAGCGCCCGAACACGATGGGAAGAAGAAAAGTTCGAGCAACTTAGAAAGACCTGGTAAGGAAAAACACTTGCAACGCGGCCGGTCACACATGAAGTCACGCTCAACAACTTGTTGAGCAAGCTGAATTCAAGGAACGGTGACATGCAAGCGACATAAGATGAGATCCAAGCTGTTGTTTGTTGCTCAGATGCACAGTTGACGGCACGTCAAGAAACCAGATTTTGCTGCGCTGTTTTGGCAAGTCCGGATCAGATCTTTGCACACCTTGAGTCACCATCCACCAATGGTGTATATCCGCTGTTCTCGCCGTTGCGCTAAGGTGGGTGGGCACATCGACACGACTTGTCAAGCCAGTCTCGTTGGGTAGACCGAGATTGACAACAATTGCAATGGGTTGGCAGCGATGTACGCACCAGACTCCAATTGTTGGCGTCGCACAGCACTGATGATCGCTCGGCGACGTCAGGAAGCTCTTCCTGCGTGAAAGAGCAGAAAGGTGGTCAGCTGCCGAGGCAATAAACTTGTGAGCTTCTGAATGCCAGAACATACGTGTGAAAACTGTGCCGTGTGCGAGAGCACCGAGTACTTTTCACCGCGATCACGAGTGACAGTAAAATGATGGTAGGCCACACGACCTAGAGCACAGCAGGTGAGCTATGCAATGGTCAAAATGTTGAGGTAAGAAAGCCACTTTCGATTGCGGCCCTAAAACTGACCATGTGGTGCTTCTTGGCCGTAAGCTGGAGCGTCGGGCAACTCCCATCGCAAGGTAAAATAATAGGTGATGCCCTGTCGATTACGGACCGAGCCAGGGAGCGAGCAACGTGAGCATAATCATGGCTTGAGCAGGTGCATGGTGTCCTATAGCTGCAGGGTGGTCGATACCATTATGACAGAGCGGCGTTGGAAGCGACCGCTAGCGTCTCGAACGGTTGCAACCGCTGGCTGTGAAGCTGGATACATAAATGAAGGTGGGTGGAGAGCAAACGCGCGTGAAAGATATTGTGTTGTCGGCATGACTCGGGGTGTCAAGGCGTCTGACGCGTGGCACACGATGCTGCAAGGGTTTGAGGCGTACTATCGTGCGTATACTGCAGGAGGTGGCGGCTTGATAGAAGAATGGTGGGCAGAGGAAGTGCAACTTGCTACACATAGAACTTGTGTGAGCTCAGCACAGCTCACGCACGGGTGCACGAGGGCGTTTAGGCGCGTGCACCAATGGGGACTCACCTCAGGCTTGGCACAGAAAGAACCTTGGGTCTCGGCCAAAAAGTTCAATGCCTTGTCCACAGCCCTATCCATGATCAGACGCGGCGAGGCTCAATCAAAGAACATGCCAGCTGTAGCAAGGGAGCTGGCCCCCATCGTGGCGGGCAAAGCCTCACTCTGCCTCTCACAAGCCCGAGACCATGAGCCAACGGCACGGCACGTACAGGAAGATGTCAGGGTCCTGATTGCTGACGTTGTGATCAAACATGTTGAGGATACCTCCGTAGGCAAGCTGAAAGGGCTTGGATTCGTCCCATACCCAGGCACGCGTGGGACCCACAGTCAGGACCACCGCCAAGGCAATCATGGTCGTCCCAATGACCAGCCGTCGCGCCATGTTTGCTGTGTGATGCTAAGCGAGAAGAGCTTTTTGATCTCTTCAAGCTGTTTTCTGGTGCAGCGCCTCGAGTTGGTTGGCGAGGGAATAGTCCGTGCCACAAATGAAGCGAGAAGGGGCCCCCATTCACCTGAAGCGCCCGAGCTCACTCCCCCACCCCAACAGAGCAAAGGTCGGAGGAAACAAGAGCAGGCCTGTCAACTGGAAACAAACAAAAATGAAAAAAGCCAAAAAAAAAAAAAAGATAAAAGGCAGGCATCCAAGACAACCGTTGCACCGGCGTGCCCGCTGAGCCCGCAGTGCCAAAGTGGAGGAGCAGGCGGAGCGGCGCGGTCAAGGCACGATCTCGCACACACACACACACACGGAGGATGGAATTTTGATGTGTGCGGAAGTGTGATCTTTGTTACGCTGGCGAACTGCGGACAGGGATTTGGGCGCTGAGACGGAAGAACAAGAAGAACGCCGATGTCGACCCGAGGCCGAGGAGGAGGGGTTGATGTCTTTGAGAGGGGTGTGTGTGTGTGTGAGTGAGATCGAGAAAGAAGTGGTTGTGTAGAGGCAGGAGGTTGGGTGGCGCAGCCCGGTGTACTGAGGAAGGAGACGACTCAGATAATCTGCAAGAGACTCGCCACCAAGATTTTGAAAAACGCCACAACCGCGGATCCGGGGGGCCAAGGTTGACGGCCAGTGTCAACTCCCCTCACAGAGGACGCGCGCACGATTGCAAATACGGACCGTGGCTACCGCGCCCTGCGTGTACCTTTGACATGCGAGCCCAGCTCATTGGCCTAGTGGGTGGGGGTGTCGTCACGGCTCTGGGCTTTGACCAATGGTGCTTACGGCAACGGCTCCAGCAAGCTCGAGGTATTGTGGCTTTGCTTCTTTGTTTGAGGAGCGCGCGTGTGCGAGAGTTTGTGTGATGTGCCTTGGCTCTCTATGGCACTTGCGAGTGTGTATGTATGCGTTGAGATAACCTCAGTCCCGCTGCTCCCACCGTCATAGCGGCATTCGTGCCTGCCCAACCTGGAGCCCAAGTCGTGGTGCTGGGCGGCGGGATTATTGGTGTCACGACGGCCTTTGCGCTTGCGCAACGCGGCCTCCAGGTTACACTTGTGGAACGCCAACCAGAACTGGCCATGGAAACATCGCATGCCAACGCGGGTACCCTCAACTATGTCATGCGCACGCTCACAGCTTCACCCGAGAACTTGCGCTTGGCGCTTGCGCACTCGTGGGCCGTCTTGACGGGTGCTGGTCGGATGGCTAGTTACAACGCGCTGTCGACGACAGACACTGAGACGGCGCCGCCCGATGTGACGACCTCGCCCGAGCAGCTAGGGGACGAGCTCAACGCCCTGCCCGCGCCCCCGATCTTGGATCGCCTGGAGCGCTTCCTTGCAAGTACCGGTTCGGGGCTTGAGGTCGGATCCAGTTTAGAGGCTGTGCTACGTGAAGTGGACGCACAGCTGGCCGCGTTGGGTGCGAAAGAGGCCGAGCTTGAAGCCCGCGTGCAGGCTAGGCTGTCTGCCCTGCGAGAGCGCCTGATGCAGTGGTCCCTCCAGCAAGAGATGCAGGCTATGCTGACGTCTTTTAGCTTCTTCAGCGTGGACGCTGCGCTCGTGCGCTCGGTTCAATTTTGGAAGTGGTCACTCAATTTCCTGGCGCGATGTTTTGCTGACATGAATGAGCGCCGGGCTTTTGTCGACGGCTTGGTGGCCAAGAGCCTAACCACGCTTGACCACATCGCGCAGACCCATCCCGACATTGATTTTCATTACCGACAGTGCGGTTCCATTGTCCTCTTCTTTGACGAGGCGCAAATGGCCCGCGAGCTGCAACATGTCGTACCAGAGCGCGATCAGGTTCTGACCCGAGCCGAGACCTTGCTTTTGGAACCCTCCTTGGAACATGTTCAATTTATTGGGGCCATTCGTCACACCAAGGACCGTGTGGGAAACTGTCGCGAGTATGTGGCGGGCCTGGCCCGCCATGCCGCACAGTTGGGTGTTGAATTTCGTCTATCGACCAATGCAACTGACTTGCGCGTGGATAATGGCCGCGTTGCGGCCGTGGAGCTCATGGACGCGGATGGTGTTGCGGACAGTTTGCCCTGTGACTATGCGGTGTTGGCCTGTGGACCAGACTCGTTGGCACCTTTGCGCAGTTCAGGCTGGTCCTGGCTGCCCATCTTGCCCGTACGCGGGTATAGCATCACGGGCGCGGCTCGACCTGAGCTGGACTGTACCCCACGCGAGTATGTGCTGCTCGACCAACCCTTGCACGTCATTGCCGTCCGCTTTGGCGATCGGATTCGCTTTGCGTCTCATGCCGAACTGACAACCGCGCTCGAGCCGGATGAGGAGAAGCTGGACGACCTTGAACGCATCGCTCGGACCTTCTTCCCGCGTGCCTTTGCCGACGGTGCTGACATTGAAGCGTGGATGGGACGTCGCCCGATGACCTCGGATAGTATGCCCATTCTTGGTGTGGGCCATCTGCCCAATTTAATCCTTCACACGGGTCATGGTGCGGATGGCTGGCGCTGGTCGCATGCCTGCGCTGAACTAACGACCGCCCTTTTGCTTGGGGAAACCCCGGACTTGCCCTTGGATCAGCTGTCTCTCGAGCGATTTCCTTTTTTGTAGTGTGGGCAAAAACACGTTTGAGAGAGAGCAGGAGAGAGAGGGCTCCCTCTTCTGCTTGGTAGGATCGGTGCGGGTGCTGTTTTTGGTGGCTCCTCCTCCTACTCCTGCGTTGAAGCAATTGAGTCGTCGTGTGAGTGGGCTAAAAGTCTCAATCTCAGTACTGGCGATACTCATTGTGTTTACACCTGACGCCGGTGTTCAGGGTGAAGATGATAAATATCATGCTCTTTGGCAGCGGAGCGGGTGCGCTGTTCGGACGTTGATGAAGCACCCATATTTTGCTTATTTTGATGGTAATTTTCACCTAATTTCCTGGTAATTTTTGAGTTGTGGTTTGACTTTCTTTGAAGAACCTGAAAATGGCATGATTGGCTCAACGATGCCTTGTCCAACAGCATTGGGGCAGGTATTGAAAAGACGGCTTGCTCGTTGAAACGACGACCTCGACCACGCTTTTTTTTTTTTCGAGGCGATAAGAAGCCTGAAGCCATCGACTGCGTGGTTTCGATCAAATCAAATGCTGAATTTTTTTTTTCGGTTTGTTTCGAGATGTCTCATCAGTGCGCGATGGACAAACTTGGGTCTGACAGTCAGAGTCAACAAAACAACAGGGGGGCAATACCAGAGACAGGGTTGGACAGGATATTTTTTTATTGCCCCCAGGATTTGCCATCTTTGAGATATTCGAGCTCCTCTGGGGTACTCTCGCGACCCAAAACGCGGTTGCGATGGGGGTAGCGCCCAAAACGCTGGAGCACCTCCGTGTGGTCTTTGAGGTACGAGATGAAGCCCTCAGCTGCCTTGAGGCTGGCCTCAGCCTCAGGAGCACCCTGGTCCAGGGCGTCGCGACATTGACTACACACTTCACGAATGATGCGCTCGTGGAGGGCATGCTTGTCCAAGTCCTCGCTATGTTCGAGCGGCAGCATGCCAATCAGGCACTCAATGGGACGAAGCTGTCGGTACGCACCGCTGGTGACCAGGTCGGAGATCCAGCCGACGGCGAGGCGATCAAAGGCAAAGCTGCGTGCTGTACCGCGAAAGGCATTGCGCGACATCTGATCTGCGACGAGAACGGCCGCGATGGTGCCACGCGGGTTGGCTGAAGCGGTCCAGCTAGCCAAGGCCTGATCGTCTGTCTCAAGTGCCTCTAAACATTGACCAAAGCGGGACCGAACTTCCTCGTCGACCACCTTGTTACTCGCAAACCAGCGGCCAAACTGCGAGGTACCATCAAAAAAGAAAGAAGCACGACAGCGTGCCTCGATGTCTGAGGCCTATGGGGTCGCCACGCACCCAGGGCAAAAAGAGGTGAAGAGGGCACCAAGGATACGCGCGCGCGAGAGTGTGTGGACGCGTACGACAGCGTGCTATCAAGGGCGGAAGGAACGGCCGAGGAGAGGGCAGCGCATTGCATCACCTACACTAGGCTCGTCAGAGAGCGCCGCTTGATCAAGGGGGAAAAACTTGTCTGCGCCAAACCAATAGTCCAACACCTCAGCGGCTGCGACCGGCAAGTCTTGGCCAGCGGCCACAGCGCGGTCACGGTACGTGCTGTTCAGATGCGAGGGCAAAGCGCCGATTATGGCCCCACGAGGTGGCGAGTAGAGGTGTTGAAAGCCATGGTGGTTGTTGAATGAGAAGAGCGTGGTGCACAGAGAGCTTCGCGCAGTCTGCAAGCACAAAGGTAGACCAGTCCGCCGGCAGACTTACGCCATTGAGCGCGATGTCACCCGATGGAGGGAGAAGCTCCGCTGGAGGGCACAACGTAGCATCAGCAATGACTGTGGCAAGGTGTCTATCAACGCGTCTAAAGTACGGCCATGAGCGTCGAGCAGACCAAAGTGGACACTTGTGCAGCTCGGTCAGCAAGAGTGTCGAGCCAGGGAAAGCCGTGAATCGCATCGACAGGTTGGAAATCAAGAAGCCGGCACGATTTTTGAATAGTTTCAAAAGCGCGTGCAGGGTGTCAGTGGCAGCGCGCGTTGGGTGTTGGGCAGGTCAGCGCATGGGACACAGTGCGTGCGTGCGTGCGTGCGTGTGTTCCCCACTCAGCAACGGTCCCAAGAGATCAACATGCCCGCCAGTGTGATTCAACAGCAAAGAGGAAGGAGGGTTGGATGGGGCGAGAAAAGGCTCTTGTCCGAGCAGATCAGAGTTGCCAATCCCAAGCAAGCGCAGAGATCTTCGCAGAGATGCTTCGTCAGTGGTGCCCGGCCGCTTTGGACGAGGGAAGGCAAGGCGAGGAGGACGGCTCGCCCCGATGACCTCGGCGCATACCTGATTGAGGCTGCAAGCAGAAAAATAGAGAGAGAAAAAAAATTGAAAATCCGCCAACGTCACCAACGTTTGGGTCAAGGGGGAACTACTTTTGTAGTTATATGCTGTTTTGGCGGTGGTTATTGCAGTTCGCCTAACCGAACCAGTGTTAGTATTTGTCGGGATAGTTGTAGTTGTCGCGGTATTGGTAGTGGTGGAAGTCGTCATTGTGATAGGAAAACGCACACGCCTTTGCAAAAGAGAGGGACGAGAGAGGGACGCGAAAGGGGTCGAAGGGGGAGGCGGACTACATAGAGGGAGACAAACCAAAGTCGGCGCTTTTAGCGGGGGGGCAGAGGGAGAGAGGGAGAGAGGGAGAATTGGCACTATTCGCCGTCGGACTGTGGTGTAAGTGTTGCACCCAAGAGGGTCAGGCAGTGCGAATGAAAGCGTATGAGCGCTCAAGACGATGGCCAGACTTGCCGTCGAGTCGGGTGGATCAGCATTTGTGCAAGGAAAAGGGGTCGAAGAGTGAGGCATTTGCAGGAAAATGGACACGGGGTTGCCCCGCGATGCTTTGGCACTCGTGGTGACGGTGAGGAGGCAAATTGGGAATCCGATGCAAAGCAAGGTCGCCATTCTTCACGGCGCGCGCGCTCGCCAGGTAGGCGGCGCGCTGCGCTGCCAATTCTGACTGGCAACCCATTGCCACAATAAACACCAAGAAGAAGAATAGAACCAACGCCACCAACAAAGAAATCAAACACGAAATGAAGTGGGGGACTTATTTTTTTTGGTTCAGATTTCATGTGTCCCGACCAGGCGAGACATTTGAGTTGCGTGCCCCTCCCCTCCCCGGGTCTCGGGTTGCATTTGCCGCGAGTATGACTCTTGTTGAACTCCACCCGTTGATCGCTAGGCTTTTGAGTTGGCATTATTGCAAGGACATCACAGCAGCAGCTCGTCGTGACGACGAGTTCGCACACACGCATTTTCTAGGTTTGGTCTTCAGTGTTGAACGGCCCTGTCGACTCAAGGAGGACATGGGTTGCCGCAGGCCTGCTGCTTGAGCGTGCGCCAGGTCAGGGGCCTTTTCGCTTTTATCAACATGAATCATTGATTGATGGATGAAGATGGGATGGATTTCAGTTTCAGAACAACTGATAAAGAACACGACGACGAGGATCAGTCAGAAAATCGCCAGGCTTTAAGGGGTGCGCACTGGCGAGAGAGAAGACGGCCACAATTACGAGTGATGGTCGGCGTTCTCAAAGTGGGCGAGGGTGACCAAGCCCTGGGCCCACTTGATGTACTTCCAGCGGGCCAGATCTTGAATGGTCTTGATGTGAAGCTTGGCAAGGACGCCGTCCGTCCAGTCGGCCAAACCCGCGAGCGCAGAGGGTGGGGCATGAACAAGCTCCTTCAGCGACTTGGTCTCAAAGTCCTTGTCCAAGGCCTTGTTAAAGTTGTTCTCGCTCTTCTCAGCGCGCTTGCCCTCCTGAATCACGCATAGGTCAGGAAGCGGGAACGGGTGAGAGGCATGCCACTGGCTCAAGCGCTGCAGGGTGCGGTGGGCAGGATTGAAGCCCTACCTCTTCACAATCGGCCAGATCAACAATGGCGTGCGCCACCTTGGCAAACTTCCACTCGGCCAAATCGGCGATTGTCTTGATGTGAAAGGCTGGCAGGGCGTATCACGACGGTGAGCCACCAGGTTGAGGGGGGACTCAAATGAAAACAAACGAACAAAAACAAAGCAGATCATGACACGGTATCTCGAAACATACCGGCCAGCATGGGGTTGGCATGCTCTGAGAGACCTTGCAGGGCGCTAGGGGGCAGCTTGACGATCTCACTGGACAAGATTGTCAAACAACAGCATTTGCAATCATGAGGGCATCGCAGTTCACAAGAAGCAGCGAAACTGGATATGATAACGAAGACAAAGGTTCTAACCTGAAAGGCATTGTCTCGTACTTCTTGTCAAGTGCTGCAGCGACGAAAGCAACAAGAAAAGGACAGGGGCGAGGGCCGATTTGAGCCGTTGGGCAGTGGCAGCAGCGGCGGCGGCTGAGCGGGGGAAACCTACCCTTGTTCACGTTGAAGGTGTAGGCGGGCTTGGCCTTCTTGGAGGCGGGGGCAGCGGCGTCCGACATGTTGGCGATTTGGTTGAAAGCACAAGAGAACCGGGCAGTGGTACGTGACGCTCTGACAGGGGGGCACAAGTGGCAGCGGGGTGAGTGAAGGATCGATCGCTCAG